TTATGCAACGTAAATAAGTTCTGGAAATCTACGGTACAGCCTAGTGCCTATAGCTCACAATACTGCTGTACTGCACACTTAGAAGTTTCTAGGAGGGTAGATCTTATGTTGCGTTCTTACCACACACACACAAATAATAATAAAAGGAGCAGGAGAAAACAAACAAACAAACAAAAAGAATATCAGGCAAATGAAACCCGCAAGCCAAGCGGGGCTTTTCTCTCTCACACTCTGAAAATGAAGTGGTGCTTCAGTACCTCTCTGGTCAGTTCTAAAGGTACAGGTATCCACGCATTTACATTTGATGTGTACTAAAAGTGACTCTCCGAAAACATGTCAGTCCCCTAATATTATAGCTCAGCACACAGCCTTCTCAAGGGGGAGAAATACTTACATGGAGCCCCAAGATATTACAAGAGATTCTACACAAGTATGATTTGATTTTATTCTCACAACTCCTAAGTAAAGAGAAGGAATAGATGGTATTCTCTTAATTCTAAGAGAAGCTTTCTAATTATTCTCATGCTTAACCATATGAAATTGAGAAGCATTTTACAACTGAGGTCAAAGGGGCTTCCGATGTCAAAGCAGGGGAGTAAATAACGGCCCATTTGATGCTGCCTGCGCAGTTTACCCTGGAGTAACATCACACAATCACATGCCTCCACCAATTTGCATACTGCAATGACCCCGATTCAAGGGGCTTTTAAAACACTGGTCACATGGTTGCAGCACTGAAATGAAAAGTGACCACAAACAGAAAACGTCTGCCTCCTGGAAAGCGATGCAATATCTAAGGCAGAAGAAACTGCAAAGGACAAATCAAAGGAGTTTCAGACTTGAGAGGCCAATGAATGCAATGCAAAGACTGTCAAAGGCTGCAGGTTACCTAAGGGAAACCGTGTAAATTTCAGCAGTGTGTAATGCAAGAAAAAAAACTGGAACCACTGAGTTTAACCGTGTGCAAACAAAACTCGGCATGCCCTGAAATCTCACTGTCATCCCAGCAGAGCTGAGGGGATTATAGCCTCCAGCACAGCTGCTAAAATGAACCAGGATGCTGTGATAATGGACAACAGCAACTGGTAAGAATCTAGAGATTCTCAACTTGAAGGCTTTTTCCTAACTTTGTGATTCTTAAGAAGCACGTGGTGCCTATCTTCCTAGATAAACATGTGCTACTGCTAGGAAAACATCAAATTATGTACATTTAATACAGTGTTTCTCTCTCTCCCCCAGAGGTTGTCATCAATGCTGCATATCGCACAAGTTTGCATCTTAGAATCGAGGCCACATCATAATACCTCCTCCATACAGCTCTCCCTAATATCAAAGATCATATAGTTCACGTAGCACAAAGGCTATTAGGTTGCCACCGAAGTTTATGCCATCTGCATGATTTCTTCATGTAACTAAAAATTGTGCCAGTTACGCTCAACATGTGTTATGAAAGAAAGAATAATCGGACAAATGAAAGAAACAAAGGAAGGGGCTTTTTACATTAGAAAAATGTGGTATGTAGGAAACCGAAAAAAGTTCTTGCCATTTTCCACATCACTTACTTCCAAGGATGGTCTGTGGTTTGTTCTTGTTATATTTCTCTTGGAGTTTCTGTAAAGAATATGAGAAACACAGAAAGTAAGATCAAAGCACCACTAGCCTACAAGAATGTCCACACAGTTACACAGAACAGGCTTCTTATCTATATCATTTTCCTTGTTATTTTATTTCCAACCAAGAGGAATTCAAAGCAGAAGACATAAAATTCATCAAAGAGAAAAACGTTACTATAATGAGACGTGCAAGTTATAACAAAGATGTGCCTCCTGAACACGTGCCTCATCAAGATCCCAGCTTTATTAAAAGCCTGGGGGAACCGAGAATCTCCAGCTCTGGGTCCAGAGCCAGGCTGAAGGAGGAGCTCTTATCAGTGCTGCCTTTCTCCTGTTTGTTCTTTCTGTTCCTGGCTATTCCTCCTGCCGACAGGGCGCCATGACCTGGAGCACTGACATGTCACCCTCAAGCCCGTGACCCGACACGCTGTGTGCGTCAATGAACACAGAGCGGGCAACCCCGTTTCCCTCTGAAGGACCATTACAATCACTCACAGGCATGGCTGGCGTGGCTTCAGGGAGGGAGAGAAGGGGACACCGGGAGGAGCGCCTCCCTCCCCTTGAGCCCACCCCCAAATATAGAGAACAGTCCTCTGGTCCAGCGGGCTTCACACTGTGGTCCCAGGACCAGCAGCGCCACCCGGGAACTGGTCAGAAATGCAAATTCTCAGAACCCACCCAGACCCCCTGGGTCAGAAATTCTGGGAGTGGGCCCTCAAAATCTGTGTTTTAACAAGTCCCCCAGGTGATTCTGATGCCTGCTGATGTTTGAGAATTACTGCTCCAGACTTCATTTCCGTATGCCCGGGGTCTGCACTGGTAGCCCAAGCAGGTCCTGACGGAAGGCCTAGCCCACCCACAGCATGTGACACAGACGGAGCTTTCCCTCCATCTCGATCTACAAGGGCACAGTTAAGTGAGTAAGTATACACTGTGAGCATCGGCTATTTCATCACTACAGTGACTACTTCAGAACTAGATCTAGACAGAAATAATTCGTAAATGTACAAATCTCAACAGATCACATGAAGCACCGAGCTAGACACCCACACATAATGCTCACACACGGCTGAGAACTCACCTTGGTACAGGGAGGGGCGGCATCTTTACAGCCCTTATGTACGTTCGCATTACAGTCTGAAACAAAGAAGAGTGTCCATCTTACTGAAGCTGTCCTGGAATGAGTGAGACTACAGCATGCTTTTTAGGGTCATTATCCAACGAACACATAAACACTACAATTATTTAGAAAGCTTAAAAAGGAAATAGGAAATGTTTAAATCACACGAGCGCCACCACGGGAGGAGAGCACACTGTTAATATTTTCATTCCCTTGGAGACAGTTTTCCCCTTCGGCACCAGGTTTATCAATCGTGAAACGTGAGATGACAGGCACTTGTGTGTCTGCTGAGAGCCGTCGCACACCACGCCCAAGGAGTCCGCCCTGGACTGCCGAGGGACGCCCGACGTCTGGCTACTGCCCACTCGCACACTCGGCAAAATGCCTATGAAGATGGAAGAAAGGAAGCATGCCCAGCAACGCTAGAAAAAACACACTGTCAGGCTCCGCGAGAACCCCGACTCCCAAGAGGTAACCAAACTCAAAGAGAAAAGTTAGCAACTTGCTTCATGAAACAATGTGGTCTCATCTCACTGAAAGAAAGAAGGGGACACTTTGCTGCCCCTTCCCGCCCACAGGCTCAGACGCCCTCCCTGCACAGGGACTGCTTCCCGCCAGGGTCTTCTTGCCCTCGCTCCCCTCCCACCTCCACCCCCCCACCTCCGCCCTACAGTGTGTACAGATGGAGGAGCCTGAGGCTTATCAGGAACTTTATTAGCAAAATCCTCCCGCAAGGGCAGGAGGTCTCACTAAGGTCCATCAGAGCCACACCGGACGGTGTCCGTAGCCCCCTGAGAACTGAGCAAGATGCTGAGCCCACAACCTTCCTCCCGCTGTAGGTCTGAGGAGCATTAAGCCAACACCTCAGTGGTCAGTGAGCAGAACCCCAGCAGATTCACATACCAGACCTGCTGGCAAACATCGAAATCGGACGGCTCTCTCCTCATTCCACAGCAAAAGAATGAAAGAAAAAGGCTAAGAGCAGGAGCTAGGAGATCCCACACAACAGTGTCACACTGAAAAGTCACAGGGAGAGGGGCCACTGCATATTATTAAGTTCACAAATAGAGATGAAAATTTGACATATGTCCTCTCTCAGAGACACAAAACAGACATAAAATGGGACCAAAAGGCCATGAAGTGTAGGGAGTACAGGATGTGACAACAGGCCAACAGGATGAGAGGGAAATGGAGCTCTGAGGGACAAGAAAGGACTACAAGGAAGGAAAAAGAGCAAGAGCGGGATGTAAACCAAACTGAGAAGAATCGACGTGACAAAGTATCAAAGCAGTGCTATGAAATTAAACTTGAAAGATTCCCTCTGGAACGTGAAGAAAAAAAGGGTATAATTATCAAATAGAAGATGTCACACAAAGACGACAGATGACAGATCACACTTCAAGGAAGAAATCAGAAAAATGAGATCAGAAGTGATAACTGACATGTGCAACTGAAAAGAAAAAACTTTTATAAAGCTTAAAAAGAACCAAAAAAGGTAAAGAAAAAAGTCTTACTTTTCTAGGAAAAATCATTACATGACACCTAATCTATAGACACATTCTGACAAAACCCATACAATTAAAAAAGTAAAAAGTCTTCAAGCATCTAAGGCAGAAAAAGCAACTTACCAACAAGGGAGTAAGGTCAGCAGGCTCCAGACTTTTCTACTGTCATACAAAACGCCCAGATATAAGGGACCAGTGTTGACAGATCTTGAGGGGGAAAGTTTGGCTGAAGAATTTATTTAGCCAGATAAAACTGGTTTTCTTGTGTGAAAGAAGCAAAGATATACCCTCAGGTACACAAGATTCAGAGAACAGATTACTCGAATAACCTTCTTGGGAAAAAAAATTACCTGAAATCCTATTTTAGCCTATTAAGAGTAGAATCACAGCTAAGAGTTCAAAAATGGATCAGCTTTATTGGGGGGGGAGGGAAGCAAAAGTGAGCGCTGAAACCAAGCTAAAGAATCACATCTAAAACACTGTTGTAAGTAGACGCAGAACTGAACACAAACACCAAATTGTTGTTGAAATAGAAAATTACTCCTGAAAGATTAAACATACAATATAAAAATAATAATAATGAGTTCAGTATATTCATATATGCTAGGGGGAAAAGGGGGTAACTATAAGAGAAATCAGAGTATTCAATCATAAGCTTTACACAGCCTTAAAGTTATTACCAGTAGATGTTAAAACAGCATTATCTTATCAAATCCCTGGAGAAGATAAAAGCCAACAAGACCTGGTCTAAATAGCTAAAGCAGACACCAAGGAAAACAGCAAAGAACTACACAAGATAGTTGTAAAATTAAATGCAAATAAGGGGAAAACCTTCATTAAAAAAAGCTCTCTCGGTTACATTACAGATTACCCATTGCTAGATTAAAGACACACCCCCAAATTAAAAACACAGAAATAGTTAAGAGAAATACAAACAAGAGGAAAGTAAGAGGAATATTAATTTTAGACACCATAAAATTCTTACAAAAGGCATTTAACTGCATTAGGGTAATTTCATGTTTACAAAAAAACATCTACAGTGAAGCTGTGACTAGTAAACTTCTGTGCGCCAAATAGCGTAATATCAAAATATACATAGTGAAACCTGTTTAAAAACAAGGAGAAGTTTAAAGAAATACAGTATTTGTGGAAAACTAGCAACTCGGGCTTTAATAAACATGAATACAGACACCAAGATTTGAATATTTGTATTATTTTATATCATGTTTTTAAGACGAGAAATATTAATCTTCATAATTTAAAAAAATACACCCATGAAATATGATTATTCATCAATAAGGCAATTTGTACAAGTCATATTCTCTTACCCAATGTAAAAAACTTAATGTTAATAAGCAAAGTTTAAGCCCTGAACACTTCCCTCCCAAAAAAACTAAATCTTGAAACTTCTAAAAAACTATGATGTTAAAAAGGAAATTAAACATATACTCAAACTGATTCTAGAATTTAATCTAAGGCAATCATCAAAGATGTGGACAGTGATATGTGCAAAAGAATGCTTCCTGCAACATTATTTATGTTGTGAAAAAAAACTGGAAAAAAACTTAAATGTACAATAAAGAAAAATTAAGCACATTTGATATTATCATCAAACGAGATATTAGCATAAAAAGGTGACTTTTTTAATGGTTAGAAGGGACTCCATTAACATATAAGTAGCAGTTTTCTCTAGGTGGGAAAACTTTGGACAATTTTAAGTTTCTCTTTAACCTTGCATCTTCTATGACTCCTACTGCATTTTTTTTTAAAGTAATGACCATTTTAAAAGCTCAGTAAATCCTGTGTACTTTCTGCAATTCCCATCTTCCACGAAAATTTTCGTGGCAATCCAAGTGACCAACTCAGTGTGAACTAACATATTCTGTATGACAAAGACATGCCTTTCAGTGAGCCCTCGGCTTTCTATTGGTCATTAACTACATGAGTGTCTAAGGGCCCACCTTTGTGACAGCTGCTATAGGGGACACAAAAAACCACTGTGTGATTACAGACCTCCAAGAACATAAAGTCTAGTCTAGCAGTTAAAAATTAAAACAAGTTGTTCATATCACAGTTTTAAATGGACCAAGATAAACAGCTTCTAAGTGTGATGCATAGGAACTTGGGCCACAGTGGTCAGGGAAGACCTCCCAAGAAAAGATAAGAAATCTGGGTAATGCAGAGGAACAGGGGAAACTGGAGGCAGGAGATTATCGCCAGTGAAGGGACAGAGACAAGGATACACACGTGGTGGGAGAAGAGGACCACAGGCCTGGCAGGGCCTCAGGTCTTAAACCAGCACTGAAGTGGGGACCGACCGTAGAACCGGCCAACAGGACGCAGACGGGGAACCGAACGCCCATCTGAGGAGCGTGGGCTTAGTCCCGCAAATGAAAAAGAGAGAAGTCCTTAAGTGCCTGTGGGCAGAGGAAGGGAGTGCCTCACTACCTTCATTAATGTGGTAAAAGTATCCATAATATACTGTACTTGAAAACAGCTGGAGAGAGGGTCACTAGTACAGCTTGCTGTCAGCAGTCCAGCGGTGCTGATGAGAACCTACCAGAGCCGTAACAGTGAGGAAGGAAATGAAAGACTGATCAGACCACAGGGACTGGGGGGCTGACAGAAGAGCAGCTACCAGTCACACTTCCAAGGTGTGAGCTGGTACCCAAACACAGCAGGAAGAGCAGCCCTCTGCACGTGGCCCGTGAGGCCGGATTCAGACACGCTGGTCTGGGAGACAAGTTCTCTGGATGATAACGCCCACAGAGAGGGTGTGACTGGGACCAACCTGGTCTGTACCTTGTTCTGCTTTAGTTCTCAAAAGCGGGCCCAGGCTGCATGGGTGCTCAGCCTCTGCAGGCAGCTAGAAAGATGGAAGGAAAAAAGTGACGGATAAAGATGCTAATCTGGGAAGAAGAGGTCTAGGTATGATATTTTAGAACCACACACTGGATGACTATACTTAGGAACAATAAAGAGAAAAGAACAAACACCCAAGAAGTGAGTCTGGAGGGTAGTCAAAGGACTAAGGAGGCAATACAGGTGGTAAACAGAAGGGCAGTGCGCCAGGGAGAGGGGACATCTACCCAAATGAAGGGACCCGATCATGGAACCAGGAGAGAGATCAGCGAGTGTGGAAACAGTCACGAGGAAAGACGCTCAGACTTGACTAGGAGGAGACTCCAAGTTTCCATCAAGAGCATGATTTCAGTTAAGCAGTGGGGACAGAGGCCAAAATGCAGAGGGTTAAGGAAGAAGTGGCGGGGGCGGACTTCAGAGCAGTGAGCGGAGATCACCCAACTTGAGGAGTCTGTCTCGAAATGAGGGGAGACAAAGGTCGTGGGGTCGTCGACAAGGCAGGGGGGACAGTGGAGATGATCCAGCCTACAGAACATGTCATCACACGGATAAACTGACTGCTGACACAGAGCCACACCGGAAACTGTCCACCAGCAACACTTAGCAAACCCCTAGAAAGTGAGCAGATTAACTCTCAGCTGAACTGCCTGATGCTTCTTCAGGTCCCATAAAAGGGAGTAATCTAGTCTCCAAGGAAAGCGAAGTTCAAGCATGCAGTGAAGCTGGTACCATGAAAGACGGTGTGAACAGACACACTTCAACCTCTTAATCATTTTCTAGGTATTAAACAAAGAACTTAACCTGTAACCTTCCCCTGCTCTTCACTTCCCTTTGTGCTCCCCTCCCACCCCCCAAATGTTTCCTAGTTCTGGCCGCCAACAAACGCCATGAAATGCTGTCACCTGCCTGGGCCCAAATTATTCTGTGCTGAATCATTCTTTCACTCCACAAATATGTACTAAGTCCCTACTATGTCGAGCATTGTTCTAGGCACTGTGGATATCCAGAGAGCAAAACCAACAGACCAAAGTCCATCCCTTGTAGAATTTATACTCTGGTGAAGGAGACAGATACATAAAACTGATGCATAAAACATAGAGTAAAGTGAGACGATGTTAAATTCTGTAGGGAGCTAAAAAGGGGGAAAGGGGGAGAAAATGAGCCAAGCTTAGGGTGGTCAGGAAAGGCCTGCCTGGGTGGGGGAGGGGGGTTCTGAGCAGACCTGAAAGAGGTGAGGGGTGTTGGCAGGGGTGAGAAGTGGCTGGCCTTCATATATATTTTGAAGAAACAGCCATGTGGACCACTGAAAGACTGGATGTGGTATTGAAAGAAAGAGGCATGAAGAAAGACCCACGATTTTTGGCACAAGCACTTGGCTGGAGTGATGGGACAGCCATTCACTGAGAGGGTCAGCTTGCAGGTGGGCACGGGAGTGGGAGAGCAGAGCTCTGCTTGGGACACTTAACACGTGGAGATGCCAGTAGGCGGTGAGGTATACAAGTCTGGGCTTCTGGGGGACTGTCACTCGTGGACAAAACTCTAACCATCAGGGGTCACTGCTTGGTCAGTTGTGAAGCCGCACAGAGAGCACAGAAACGAAAGTCTCCGTGACCATGCCTGGCGCTGGCGTTATTCGCAGGGAGCTCACCGTCGGGGGAGGCAAAGCACGCAGACAGCACACACCGGGCCCGAGAACTTACTGCAGCACTGGAATGACTCTTTCCCCAGGACCGTTTTATCACAGGCCAAACACTGCAGACCCCCAGCGAATGTTCCAGGGACAAACTGATGTCGACTCAGTTTCTCTTTGTCTTTGGCATCCTTGCCTTTTGTCTTCAGAGATGGCAGCAGCAGCAACGTGGGGAAAAACGAGAGGAGAGAAATGCTGAGAGCTGATGGGCTTAGAGAAGCCACACAAAGTCCTGCACATTCAGTCAGGACCGATGGACCACATACCGAGAAGTACGAGCGCGCCCAGCTTAACAGCACCCAGGGTGAAGTGTTCTCAGTACTTCCCATGACTTGGACGACATCCCAGAAGAAATACAGAGGGTTTCAAATACATGTGCGTAAAATCTAACAGAAATGACTTTAAAGGGAAAGTGGAAACTACATGGCCTGCCCTGAAACTGAGCCACCTACGCTTTATATGTGATGGTCACAGAACCTTAATTACCTTAGATTTATTCCGAGGGCTGGTCATCCTATTCCTGAGGAAGCTGAAAGTCCGACTCACTTTGTATTTTTCAGACTCTGATTTGGCCGGTATGATGTATTTATCCCATTCTTCCTCCTGAATTCTACAAAAAAGAATCTGTTATCATGGACTTCACAGAGCAAAAAAACAGCAGTCATACTTATGTGTGTGTGTATACCAACACACAGATGTATTTTATGCATATATTTTTACACATATTCCTTATACATATATATTTACATGTGTATGTTTTTCAGGTTTTTATGGTTATTTTAAGATAAAGATAGAAATATATCTTCAGGATGAACAGAAGGACAGATGTATGATAAAGCAACTATCTCATAGTGTTAACAATTATAGAATCTAAGTGGGGAAATAGGTATTCAAGTATGTAACTCTTTAGGCTTTTCTGTATACTTTAAAAGTTCTCATATTAAAATATTGGAGAAGTAAAGGAAATCTTAGACTTCTAATTTCACTGTGAAAACATGCATCTCCCTGTTTACTATGCTAATAGAATTTTTCTAGCACAAAGAAGCCAAATAACCAAGGATATGAAACTGGATTTTATTTACTTTTAGAGCAGAAATAATACTCAACAGACACACATTTCCTTTGTCAATACAGCCTGAGAAACAGACCATCTGCCCCGTGGTTCAGTCTCTCCCACTTAGTCAGGCTATTTGCAATCTGAGACTCTCCAGGTCATAAAGGAGACAAGATTGTTGAAACTCCCCCAAAATAGGAAGCAAGCTAGAGGCAATTGTAACCAATCTGTAAACACACTGAACATCATTTCTTTTCCTCTAATCCACAGGATCATTCTTTAGCCAAAAAAAAAAAAAAAAAAAGTACCAGCTATAAAGAGGAAAATTCTCTGGAACTTTTAAATTTTCTCTGGAAGTTTCTCAGATCATCTTGTATTTCTAACATTATTACAGAGAGACAGAGAGAGTATACTAATGCCCAACCTAAGTATCATGTCAAACCAGCTAACACTTCTCTAGACTATTTCCAAAATGAACACTTCATAACCAGTGTCTCTCCTGCCCCCAGGCTTCTCATTTGTCAGTATTAGTGGCTAACAGAGTCACCTCTCAGAAATACTTTTCAAAAGCAATATTACTGGTACGCACCAAAATGCATGTGATATATTACATTTTATGAAAATGAGTTAAATGACAACTTTCTAGGACTTCAGTTCTTCTCATCTGATCAAAGACTAACTTATTGCTAAGGCCCTTTCTCATACTTACATGCAATACATACTTAGCCGGTACATATTAAACAAAACTAAATTATTGAACCTCTATATTTCATAATTGAGAGTTCAAACCTATGAATGCATTTAGAATACATAGTAAATGGCTTCAGAGCTGCCTCCTGGTCACGCAGATCTAAAGGTGTAGTCAAGACAGTGTGCGTCCTGCTACCTGAATCCTGCACAGTTAGTGAAATTGGGTTTGCTTCTTAGAGAAAACAGTTGAAAAGTTAGAAAGGAAAGAAGGTAAACAAGTGAATAGGCCCTACAAGTACTCAGAGTAACACAAGGAACTCAGACCCTCTTATTTCCTTTCTACGTCCACAGCCACCTCCTTAGATAACTCACTGGTTACTATAGCCATGAATTTCCATACCTCTTGTGTCTTAAGGATCCTACTTGCAAAATTCATGGAATGATATTCAACAGGTTCACTTTCGAAACAGGAAAAAAAAACACATTTGTGAGCTTAGAAAGAATCCTCTCTGGAACACCTTTTGTAACCCCAGCGAGAGTCATCCAATGTCTAAGATAAGAACAATTTTGTGAGAAGACCTAAGTCTCAGAATTACAGAAGGTAGGATCAATGTGGATTTTGAGGTCAAGAAGGCCTCTCCCTTACATTCCAGCAGGAACACAACTAAACCCTCTCAAACAATAGAAAATGAATTCTTGTTTACCCAACTTTACTCCCAGTTCCCCCTGCTGTAGAAGACTGCATCAAGAACAATGTGACAGTTTTGATTTAAAACCTATAAATGCATCCCCATTTATCATACATCCTGTACACTTGCACAAAGTGACATAAAATCATATCAATCCTTAAATTCAAAGGTTGATAAGAACTGAGACATGACAAAGTCAATACTGAACACTAAATATTAAAAACTCTGGATCTTCCAACCTGGTAGACATATGACTTTCAAGGACATGACTCACAGATTATAAGAATGGGAAACACAGTGTAACCTCTGGGCAGATGTGGGCTAATTCCATGTTTCAAATCTAACTTAACTATGTGGTATTTACCTATGTAACAATTAGGTCCTTTAGAGAAGAACTCAGAAGGAAAAAATCCTCAACAGATTTCACAACAGAATTCAAATAGCTCTTCAATTTATAAGAATCTGGAAAAAAAATTTCCCAGAACAAGAATACATAAACTCTATTATTGATTTGATGACCAATGGAATTACCCACAACAAAGGTTTACATAAAAAGTTCCAACTATCCAAAATGAAAATAGACACAGTGAGACTTCAGCTTTGAACACTCAGATGCTCAGGGTTTTTTAAAAGTAAAAGGTAACATACGTAATAGATTTAAGATAGATGGTAGCAATAAAGTAACTGAGTCGTGCCATATAATCCTTAAGAAGTTGGTATAGATGAAGTTCTGCTCCCAGAGAAATAAGCTTGCAAGGTCTGAGTAAGCCTCCCCTTTTACCTGGTTGCATTCTTTTCCAGAAACTAAGGGATTAACATAAATAAGGGAATTCCAAAGAAGGCAGACCCTCGGGTAAATATCTATAACATGACCAAAGCCAAGCATTAGGTACGGCCAGAGATCTTACCACTGTATCCAACAAGAGACCTGGAATAGAGTAGGCGAGATAAAAGATCTACTCTACCAGATATGCCAGGGATATTACTAATAAAGTCAGATGCCTTTGGGATGTAGACCAAGACAGACTAAAGAACAGGGGGGAAAAATACAGGAATGAAGAATATGAGAGAAAGGGATGTCCCCTATAACTCCCATCCAAGTTAACACATTTGACAGGATAACATCTAACCAGTGATGACACTGGCTCTTCCAGTCTTTCATCCCTCTCCTAATGGAAAATATTTTTGATTAAAAAAAAAAAATCTTTACAGGGGGAGGGTATAGCTCAGTGGCTGAGTGTGTGCCTACCATGCATAAGGTCCTGGGTTCAGTCCCCAGGGCCTTGATCAAAGACAAATAAAGCCTGATCACCTCCCCCAAAATAAAAAATATTTTTTAAAAATCTTTACAAATCATTCCATTACTTCTCCAATTATTAAAAAGATGGCCCAGAGAAGACCACTAACCAAAACGAAGGCCAGGATGAGGAACAAACTCAAGAATTACTTAGTAAATTGCTTAAATAAAGCAATAAATGTAAGCTGCTTAAACCAGAGCCAGGCACATGGAAACAGCCCACAAGGGTCAGCTGCCACCCCTGCTGTCGCCATCGTTACTGCCACTATGGCCTCTCCATCACCATCCTGTTCTTAAAGGGCATTCTTTGTCTTCCTCTGTTTTTAGCACTGCAAAATTTCTATTCTGGTCTCAAAAAAGTAGGAATGAACCAAAGGAGTTTTTTTTTCTTACTCGTATCTTCAGTCTAAGATTTAAAGCAAAACAGTCCACCTTGATCTACACAGGAAAATGGTTCAGAGTTTCAGCATTAATATCAATCAAATTAAAACCATTTTCCTCCTTTTCACGTGGTCTCTTAGAGCCAGACATTGATGCCACTTATGCTGTTCCTGACATAACCCCAGGGCTGTTTCACAGTGTGATTCACGAGCAGTCAGTTTCTCTAGGCCGACAGAAGTCAGCAGTCCAGCCTGCTTGCTAGTCAGCTTCCCAAGATTTACTCCAAGGACAGTTTTATCTTCTAGGGGAAAGAGCAGCTTAGGCTTAAAGCTTTCAAACCTGCAAATCAACCAGAAAAAGGATGATGCTCAAAGTACTTTCTGTATCATTTACTCCTTGTTTCAAACTTAGCACTTCTAAGCAATACTCCCTAAGGACGGAGAAGAGAGAGGTTTAGGCACTTTCTGTAACTGCCCACCCAGGAGCCTGTTACCATAGTAAGTTTTCTCGCCAAGGTGGACAGACCGAGTAAGAACCTGGTACCTTTCGAAAGCAAGGCTTCACACTGTTCCGCATGGTCTTGTGCACTGGAAGTGTTTGGCTTTGAAAATAACCCTGAACAGACTACTCTGCCCCCAGTCCTGAGGCCTGCTCATCTAGGGACTGAAGGGAAAGCTGGCAAACCTGCACCCACACAGATCACAAAGGGAGCAAAGGATTCAGACAGGCTTGTTACGCAGAAACTTCTCCCAAACTACTGAACAGGCATCAAAGATGACGTGCAAACGCTTCCCAAGATGGATCAAGCAGCCTCTCAGGAAATGTGGAACAGTTCAAATACCTTTTTTCTCTTGGTGGCTCCGGTAAGCTGTAAGCTCTTTGCTCTAGAAGACACAGAACAATAAAATGAAAACTCAGGCAGACAAACCAGCAGTCACGTGTTAGTCTGAAGTGCACACACTCCACCATGTGTTATTACACACATACCACCACTTAGAAAATGATGAGAAAACAAGTCATGTTCCATAGGAGAGCTCTGCTCCAAGATGTCTTTCTCACTTTCCCTAGTTTGAAGAGAACGGGGAAGAGGCCAACACAGGGCCACACTTAATGACTTTGTGAACTAAGTTAGCATTAGCAAGGGGCAGCAAACATTTGCAGAAGTGCAGGAAATCAATTCTATCTTTTTGGATATTTCTCATCAGAGCTTCATCTTTTATTCCTAATACTTACTTCCCCAACATACAGAATCAATAAATATCTTAGCTGCTTTTTAGCAAAGCTTATAGGAAAAATCTTGAAGGCCAGCATAAGGAAGAGTCCATTTCAATATAGCTGTAATGCCTTTACAGAGCAGCCAGTTCAGAGATGTGCTGTGCGGCTTAAGGGAAAGGCAGAGCCACCTTTCCCACTGGACGTGGAGGGTGAGGGAGTAGAAGGGGAAGTCTCATGCAACCAGATTAGCACCGTCTTGTTTCCCAAACTTGAGTGCTTACTACAGGGATGGAGCAGAGATACTGACGTAGACATTGAGAGAGACTGAGGAGGGAATGGCCGCTGTGGAGCACACCATCTGCAGAGCAGGGACAGATTCTTTACTACTACAATCCAGAAGAATAAAGAGGCAAGACTAGGTTGTAAAGGGAGGTGGGCCAGATATGTAAGGAGGAAAACTAATAAGCATATATCCCCTGAAATGTGGCAATATCAATGTCAAACCAGTAGTGTCCTGTAGGTAATAAAAGAAGAGTTTGAAGATTTTATATTATTGCTGTTAAATATACTGCAAATTACGTCATGAGCAGAAAGCATCATCCTTGCACACAGACTGAGGTTTCAAGAGAATAAGCCACATACCCAAAATTGTCAAGCTAATAAAGTAACAGAATCAGACTCAGGCAAGTAGACAAAGTCTCACAAGGATTCCATCCATCAGTGCACAATAATTTTCAGAAGTACATTCACTTCACTCCTCAAATTCTTAAATACAGAGCACTTTTGTCCATCTTGGTGAGGCTGTAATTATTATTTCAACATTGAGAATATTCCTTTCCATGATATACCAAAGGGAATTATAGGATTGGATTTTCTTTTATGTACACAAGCATTAAATAATAAAGTTGCCACCACTGCACTCTTATGTCAAAAAAAAATGGAAGAAGAAAAAGAAAGCATGAGAAATGATAGTAAGTAATCCTTTGGAAGTGACATGGAAGACAGAAATCACAAACAAGCATAAAAAGGACTGAAAGACAATCCTATCTTTGTTTAGCTGTGTTACAGCTTATTTCCAGGAGTTTTCCACTGGGAAAAAGGAGACTCGGACACTGTTCAAATAGAAAAAAATTTTAGAACTATTCAGAACTCATCGAGGAAGGATTTACAACAATACAAACGTCAGTTTACCCCTGATTAAGCAGACTAAACAATGAAATATTAGGATACATCTTTGAACTAGTCAAGCTTGCACATCTGTGCTTTGATCATATGCACACAGTTAAAATTATTTCTTCTACCTTAGGAGTTAATTCTTCATAATTCTATGCTTTTGATGGACCTAAATGCTATCAATCTAAACGTTTACAACCATAGAGGAATATCATTGGAACCCCTGTACATTTAGTGTGCAGCCTCAATCTAAATTGCCTGTTTGTAACTCTTACCTTCTGGAGAGTACCAAACTTCATTTAGTAGCCCAATTTTTCAATATGCTCTCTAAAGATAAGCTTTTATTCACAGAAAAACCAAAGGAATTGATGTCAGCTTTTTATTCTTTGCAATTCAAATGAAAAGATTTAAGGATTGTATGTAAAGCAAAAATGCCCTTCCTTATTCATATCCCTTATAAACAATCAGTTTCCTCTCAGTTGTCTGAGATTTCAAACATCAGAACTTTTGGAATTTATAAAATCACAGATGTTACAGATATAAAAGCAAAGTCACTATTTTCCACTCTGCATAGAAGACTTAAACAGTGTTTTGCAGATATTTACAGCACAAAGTTAATTCGCATCTCTAAGACTAGAAGTGAAAAGGTATCAAAGCTGACATTAAAAGGAATTGTAGAATGGATAAACAAGATTATACTATATAGCACAGGGAAATATACACGAAATGTTATGGTAGCTCACAGAGAAAAAATGTGACAATGAGTGTGTATATGTCCAT